GTTGGCGCTTCCACCTCCTTAGCACGATGTGAGTGGGGTTCAGAGCAACTATTTAAGGCATATGAATAGCGGCATTTGGTCAGTCTTTAGCTTAGCGCCTTAGGCTCCTCTCTTCGCCAGTGTCCTGAACTGGCGAGCCCACCCGGACGGAGGTAGTTCTGCTTTGAAGTTCATGCTCCGTCCATAATTAAGCAAAGTCTACCGATATCGTGTCTTGAACTTTATCGCGGACCTGCATAAGCGATTTTGTAGTTGACGAGTGTGTTCGCAGCTCCCGCTGGTTTGAAGCGGAAGCGAATATACGTCTGAGTGCGATTGACTACACCTATTTTATTTGTTATTAATAATTACTTTCTTTCTTTCTTTTATAGGCGTCCGCCGGGGATTCATTCATCGCGGGATCCAGACGGAGCGCAGAGTTAATTTCTACGGCACAGGATTTATTTTATTTTCATGTATATTGTACATATATTAGATCAATAGACATATTTTTATTTTAACCTGTGTTTTACTGAGTCTGTCGTCCTGAAAGAGCTACCCGTTACAACTTTTTATTAACAAAGATACAATTTTAATGAAAAACGTTTACTTATATCACTGATAGTATGAAATAACGTAATAGTTTTTTAATAACTATTACACCGATTTTTTTGTAAATGATAACGACAAAGTACCGTCTCCTTCTGTCTCCGCGATAAGTTAAACGAGGCAACCATAATATATTTCAAATCCTGGCTAAAAATAAGTTTATTGAATAAACATTTTTATATTTTTTGTAAGCAATCAATATAAAGGAATTTTAGTTCGTAAATTTATGTGCAAAACGTGAATACTACGTGAAATTTCAAGTAGATAAATTGGTTTATCCATTAAACAATTATATTGCCTTATTTCTACATCATTATAATATAGATCTTTTAAAGCAAAATGCATTTGAAATCAGGAAAATTCCAGAATATGTACCTATATAAAACAGATAGTAGTATTCTGGCACGGACAAATTTTTCATTTATGTCCCGGCTACATAAGTGGCCGTTAAGTCATGTTAGGGGCGTTTGCGCAACCTAAAAACAGTCGACTTTACATTATGCAATTGTCATGCTATGCAAGAGCTATGCAAGACAAATTATGCAACTGCGCATACCTACGCGACATTTTCATGCAATATCTGTGTTAGGGGAACAATTAGAACCTGTTTTATTTTTCATATTATTTTGATGCAATTTATCGTCAAAATTCATGTTGCCAATATAACAAAATTTATGGTTTAGAATAAAACTTAACCTTATCGTGTAAGTGTAAATGTTATTTAATGGAGGTAATAATTTGTGATTTATATTTGAATACATTGAATTCTGAAATGAAATTTCCAAGTGATATAAATGTAAAATTAATGTTTTGAAATATTTCTTCTGTTAGAGTGAAAGTGGTATCTCAAATTCTCAAAATTGTACAGAAATAGCTCTTATGTAAACAGATCAGGCTAGGCAAGAGTTATGCGGTGCAAGAGTTATGCTTATCGGTGCAAGACGGACTTGCATAGCATAAGACTTGCATGGCCTAGATATAAAGCTGCTTTTAGAGGCCGAAGAACAAGTCTAACTTGTTTGGAACAAAGGCAGGGAGATCCTTAATAGAATGAAATATAAAAAATAATTAAAAAAGCCAAAGGATCTATGACAGGAAGTATGATTCAATTAATACACACGATATAAGGATGTGGTACAAACTGAAAGGAAAGATTTTTTTTAAGAACACAAGAGGAAAAATTGTTATAGATTTATAAAAGAAAATTAAGGGATGAAGTGAATACATAAGAGAATTATTTCAGCATGACAGAAACTACTTTTTTCAGATAAATAGCAAAACACAAAATTATAAAAGAGAAAGTCAAATAAAAACTCTGGAAGGCAATTTGAACTAATAGCATTCCTATAAAATTAATTAGAGTATATAAGTATTATGAAAGTAGATGATTGCATTTCCTTTCAATTCGAGCTCCACCATTATTGTACACATGTTTCGAAGTCAAGTCGACAGACTTAATAAAGAATGTACCGAATACTTATACAGAAAAAGAATATCGAAGAAGATCGCTAGGAATGAAATATAAGAAAACTATAACATCGAGGAAAGCTGGGAAAAACTTAAATAAAAATAACATAATTAACGCAGCAACGGAATCACTTGGAGAGAGGAAAGTAACGAACACTACCATATCAAAAAGAAAACACCATGGTTTAGAGGGGAAGTGAAGACAAAATCTGAAGAAAAGAAAGAAAGCCTTTTTACAATACAGAACACAACAAACATAACAGGCATGTAACCACTATAAACGAATTAGAAATGAAACGAATACTTTAGATAGACAAATAAAAAGGGAACACTGCCAGAGCTTCTCAAAACAGATTAAACACATTTTCTACGGAACACAAGAGGAAACATGGAGAATGCTCAGAGGACAAAGCAAAGTGATGAACGAACTAATAAAAACGAAACACATTCAAAAGGAAACATGGGTAGACTATTTTCGATCCCTATTTGCTAAAGCTGGCGATATGAGCCACCCACACCAAAGGTGACGACAAACGAAGAAATAAATAATGAGGAGGAACACGTAAAGGAAGCATTAAGGAAATAAAAAAATAGAAAATCAGCAGGAGAGAACAAAATACCGAACGAACTCCTAAAGTACGAAGGACTAGATTTGACCAAACAACTATTAAAACAAATCCAAAAAATAATAGAACAAAACAGAATTCCTCAAGAATGGAGATCAATCGGGCCCAGAAAATTACAAAAGAATTAATTTATTAAACACAACACTAAAATTAACAACCAAAGTGATAAAATAAACTGAATGAATTTATAACACTAGCCGAAGAATTACAAGCTTTTAGATCGGGAATATCATGCACCGACACTATATTTATAATGTGGCAGGTGCAAGAGAAATCATTAGAAAACAATAAACCGGCATATCTATTTTTCTTGGACCTCAAGAAGGTCATCAAAACAATAATGACATACGCGGCAGAAACAGAAACTTACACAAACAGGACAACAAGGATATTAGAAACAGCAGAGATAAAAACACTTTAAAAAATTGATGGTAAGACACAATGGGACACAGTGAGAAGTTAGAACACACAAACCAACCTATATATCTTGGAGTAACTCTGGACCGGTCCCTCACCTACAGACAACATTGCATGAAAACAAGGGGGAAAGTAACAACTAGGAACAGCATACTCAGAAAGCTAACGGGAAGTAAATGGGGCGCACGTCCTGGTGTTTTAAGAACAACGGCATAGGCACTGTGTTTCTCAACTGCTGAATATGCATGCCCCGTTTGGAGCAGATCTGCCCACACCAAACAAGTTGATACTGCGCTAAATGAGACATGCAGGATAGTAACGGGGTGCATAAAACCAACGCCACTTTCAAATCTATATGGAGCAGCGGGTTTTGCAGAACCCTCAACACGCAGAGGCGCTGCAGAACACATAGAGAAAATTAAACAGATCGCAGACGATCGGCATGCCCTATACAAAGCTCGAACACCACGAAAGCGACTAAAATCTAGGAAAAGCTTCCTTGGAACAGTGAAGGATGAACCGCCTGAGTATTTTCCACTTCCCCAGGTTCAATGGACCGGCCAGACCCTACACTTTAAAACGTGGAAAACCTTAAATAGGAACGGGGGTTGCTACAGTAAAATCAAACATGTGAACTGTGACTGTGGAGAAACACAGAATATGGAACATCTTCTTACATGCAGAAACTGTCCTCATCGATGTACCCTTAAAGATTTGTGGCTCGCCAACAAAAATGGAACCGACGTAGCCCGAACTGGGCCGAAATTTTATGAATGACATGTCCGGATACGATAAAGTAAAGTAAGTACAGTGAGAAGTCCAAATATACGACGTAGAAGCAAGGTGGAGAATATCAAAGACTGGGTAAGAAAGAAAAGTAGAATGGAACGATCATATAAGCCGAATGACAACAAATAGAGTAGTAAAGACGGTAGGGGACGATTCCCCAATATGAAGACGATCAGTATCAAGACCACGAAAACGATTAAATGACAACTTACTAGAGGCACATAGAAAAAACAGACAGAGTCATGTCTACATAAAAAGAAGAAGAAGAAAAAGAAGTGTTTCGAAGTTTGACCTCTCATCAGGAGTGCATATGGTAGGTCGAACTGAAATGAGATACTCTTCATCTATGTGGCCGAGTTAAGAATGCCTAAATGCCTAAATCGATTAGGAACTTACACCCGAGTAGACAAAGAAGGGACCAAAAATAATTAATAAAAGTCTTAAAAACACTGACGGGTGCAATTATTACAAAACAATGCAAAGCAGACATCCACAATTTTCCCATAAACATGTTTATAGTTATTAAGACTGTAAATAGTTAATAAATGTGCAAACGATGAGTGGAGACTTGGAAGATGTTTTCATAGAGAAAAATATTTAGAATTTTTAGGTATTACACAATATCGAAACATCTAAAAATCAAGAAATGGGTAAGAAGTAAGAACATACAACAATTTGGAGAAGCTAGTAGTAAAGAGAACGATTGAAGATATTAAGATAGATACCGAACCATCGACACTCCAGAATATATCCACTCTTAATGTAAAGTTTGATATAATACCGAGAAAAAAAGAAGAACATCGGAAGTGTGAACCCATAAAGATTTGATTGGTTGAATGGTTCAACAGATTACGTTACGTTACTAATGAAAAAAAAAACAAATTTTACTAGCTGTTCTCTAACCCTTTTGGAATTTATAATAGAATATTGTTTTTATATTTGTTTATAAAAGAGAAAGATAAGAAAACAATAAGGACATACATGTTTAAATGTTATCTTTAAAAAGGACACTTTCTTATTTACGACAAACAATTTTCATCCTGTATTTATCTGTTGCATATTTCCTACATAAATTACCCACAAACAAATCTCGGTAAAACGTCTGGTACTTACCCACATGTGCAGAGTTCACAGATACATTGCTCCTTTAACGGTACTTTAACCACTGCTGGCTTGGCCGGTTCTTTTATAATTTTTTCGATGTGGATGACTTTGTTGTCTGAGATTCGATTAATATTCGTAATATTTTCGACTTCCTCCTGAAGCATTAAAAAATTATGGTTAGTATTTCTTTTATTACTACAAGGGTATATTAAATGTGGGAAATTATTAAACTACTTAAACGAATGATAATGGTATTGACTTTCAATTTTATGGTTTAAAATAATGGCAAAGAGAATTACTTTTCAGTTTATCGGTAATTGCTCGTAATAAAAGTCATATCGCTGAGAGAATAGTCAATCGTGACGAATCGACGATGAAATCAAGCACACATATTTTCTAGTTCTAAAAATATAGATATAATAGACTAACTTAACCGTGATTACTCAGCTTTTATTAAATGTCACCACCGTACAATTTGTTTATATCCTGCATTTCGTCGATATCCTGCAGTGATCACGGTCCATACTGATGATGTCGTTTACCATGGTTATCGTTGTCATATTTACCTATTTTGAAAAGTGTAAATTATTAAAAGACAGAGCACAGAATAAAGATAAGGCTGATATAAAATCGAGGGAATAAATAAGTGGATCTTGAATAGAAAAACTGTAGGAACCAACACATAAATCGAATGACTGAACAAAAATAGCAAGAGATAACCGACTGGAATAATAGTCAAAGTAAACCCAAGACAGTGGAGAACAGGGAAAACAGACGAAAGGGAAGAGAAACCAACAACGATTCTTGAAGTTGAAGATACAGCTAAAAAACTAGCCCCGGAATAGATAATCTCCTAGCTAAACTATATAGAGAAGGTGGCCACGTTATCATAATGGCTTACAAAAGAAATATTTACACAGAAATCCCTCCCCAATGATTGGAATATTGGAATACTTTGCACCATACACAAGAGTAGATATCATTGAATGCTCTAACCACAGAGGAATTACGCTTCTAAATGCAGCATATAAAATATTTTCCACAGTGCTATATCACCGTATGGCACCACATGCAGAACGGATAGTAGGAAAATACCAGGCTGGTTTCAGAGGTGGTAAACCGACAATTCATCAGATTGCAACCCTGAAACAAATTTTAGAAGAAAAACACTAGAATATGGCATTGATACTCATCACATATTTATAGGCTACGAAGCAGCCTACGACTCTGCGGATAGAAGAGCAATGTTCAAAGCAATGAAAGAGCTAGGAATACCAAATCAGTTAAATTTACCAAAACCAACTCTTGAAAAAGTTAAATGTAGAGTAACAATTCAAGTGTAACTGTCTGAACCTTTTAAAACAAATAACTGGCTGCGCCAGGGAGACCCTCTCTCATGTATACTGTTCAATCTGGCTCTGGAAAAGTAATAAGTATGTCAGAAATCACAACCATTGGTTGAATATATAATAAATCAGTGTAAATCCTTGCCTATTCTGATAATAACAATACTGTTGGGAGAACGGAAAACGCTGTACGAAAGGCGTATGTAACATTAAAAAAATCCACTACAAAAATGGGGTTATTAATAAACACCAATAAAACGAAGTATATAAAAATAAGCACGCAACTATAAATCCTATGACCACTTGTCATAGAACACGACGTCAAAGCAGTAAACGAATTTGTATACCTGGGAGCGCTACTTAACATTAAAAATAATACTACCGCAGAGATAAACCGTAGAATCTGCATGGCCAACAGATGCTATTTTTTACTCAATCTTCTTCTTAAATCCACAATTATATCGAGAAATACAACAATAAAACTCTACAAAACAATAATACGCTCAGTCCTAACATATGGTTCAGAGACCTGGACTCTAGCATAAAGTAATGAAAACATGTTAGGATGTTTCGAAAGTCGAATCTATGACAAAATAACCCAGCCAGAAAAATGCTCCTTGATAGACCCATTGGTCAAAGAAGAAAGATAAGATCCAGAATAAGGTTTCTTGATAATATCGATGAAGACATGAGAAATAAGGAAATATGTGCTTAACAGAGGAAATCGATGGATAGGGAAGACTGTAAAGCCAAAATTATGATGAAACCCAAGACAACAATAGTCGAAAAACTCTGAAACTAAGGAGTAATTATGTCCAGACAGGTGCTCTTTAGCTACACATGCTGTTAATCTTCTTCTTCCTCTTTATAAGCAATTCTGCTTGTCATTGGCGGATTAATTCCTCTATGGAAGGTTGTCACTCCATCTTTTGCGCGGTCGTCCGATACTTATTCTGCCGATTGGTGTATCTTTTGCTATTTTGACAGCACGTGTCTCCTACATTCTGCTTATGTGGTTATTCCATTCTTTTTTCTATTTTGTTTCCATTCATTTATACACTGTACGTTACATTTTCTTCTAATGTCTTCACTTCTCTTTCGATCTCCCAGCGTATTTCCTGTAATTCTTCTCAGTACTCTCATCTCTGCCGTTTCCAGTAGCCTTTGCGTTGTGGCTGTGTCGGGTCTTGTTTCTGAGGCATGTGTCATTATTGTTCTTACACTAGCTTTATAAATTTTTGATTTCATCTAAGTCTTAATGTTTCTGTTTCGCCATATAGTGTTATTAAGGCATCCTGCCAGTCTATTTGATTTTTGTACTTGATCTCGCACTTCTTTATCCATGTCTTCATAGTTAGACAGTGTAATTTACAGGTATTTTATTTCCATTACCTGTTCCATACTGATAACATCACTTTCTATTTTACATATGGTTGGTTCTTTGCTGATTACTATTGTTTTAGTTTTCTGAGATGAGATTCTTCTTTTTCTTCAGTGCTTTATCCGGTCCAGATGTTGGTAATCATCAAGGCTATCATGGTTTTGTTGACTGCTCTGCAAAACAGCTCCACGGAGGTCATCCCAAACCATTGTCGGAGTTTTTTCAACCACAAGATGAGATTGTCATATTAAATTCTTTTGTTTCTATGTTAAATCTATGTACCAGTCTTTGGTGACTAGATTCATATTGTGCTATTAATATTGCGTCGTCTGCGTAATAGAGTATTTTGATTTCTTTTTTTTTTTCATTCTGTATCCTCTTTCTTTGTTAACGATTTTGATGATTTCATCAAATTCTGTAAGTTGTCCATTTATTCTGGCTTCCATTTTGTTGTTTTGGTACATGTTTTCGATAGTTTTTATAATATTTAGGAGAACTTCTCTATTATACAGAAGATGGATTACATCTTTGAGTCTTACTCTGTCAAACGCTATCTTTAGGTCAATCACAGAAATACTGGTCTATTATACTCTAGTGATTTCTCAGTAATTTGCTTTATATCGAATATTGCATATGTAAAACCACTAACTAAAGTTAAATTCCCACTACTAAAACCCTGTAATTTTAGTTGTAAGTTTTAGAGTAGTATTTAACAAGTTTATACCTCTATAGATTTCTGGCTGTTTTTATCTCCTTTTTTGAATAGTAGAATTAGTTCGCTCATTTTTCATTCTTTCGGTATTTTATTGTGCTTTATAATTTCATTAATTGTTCTGTCATTCCTGCTCCACAATATTTCAGTAATTCGTTTAGTATCCCGCCTTTACCTGATGCTTTTCCGTTCTTCAGGTTTTCAAGTATTTTCCAAACTTCCTGTACATTTATATTAAGTTCTTCATTTGTGGTAATTTCTGGTGTTTCCGGTTCTAGCGTCGTTTGTTCTTCCTCTGCATATAGCTTTTTTTGTGACTATATGTGACTATACCGGAGACTCTTATAGATAAGCTCGATGAAACCAATAAGCAACTAAGTAGCGTTAAATGGAATGAAAATACAGAACTCTTTAGAAATAATTAAAACGACGAAGACTTAAAAAATAAAACATTTCGTTCATGGCATCCAGAGAAGTATTAGCTTCTACGCCTCATAATCCAAGGCAAGATTGCCAGAAAAGAAGATACAGGCTGAAGAAGAGCATTCTGGATCCTAAACCTACGCGAATTGTTCACAAGACGTCTATTTCGAGTTGTTTGACCGAAAGTCTTATTTGCAGAATAAGCAGTACGAGTTTAAAATGACCAAACGTGAAATTTGTTGAATTTTTTTACATCAACTTGGTAATTTCTATTTCTGACGTCAATGAATCTATGACTTGCAACGATAATTGTTTTGCTAAAGTATATAACAAACAATAAATCAATGTATGTTATAAATTTAGTAGCATTTACTTGACTAGTTAAATTTGTCTAAATAGGATGTATTTTAGTTAGTAAGTATTATAGTTTTACATGGAGTTTTTTGAGTTTTTATATATAATTATAATTACCAGGATTTATAGTATACTTCATTCCTGATGTATAGGAAATATGAAGTGCTTGAAAATATAGGTCTTTGATCAGTGTTCTTCCGGTTCCAGCGTACGAAGCAGACACACTGACCCCTACCAGAAAAGCAATGGAGAGGTCAATGATGAATATACCCCTTAGAGACAGAGTTTCAAATCAAATAAATAGAAGAAAAACTGGTGCTAATTATCGAGTTTTATAATCAAACAAAAGGAGGCGTCGATGTGATAAGTATTTCAAATATTTGTTAAATTTATGTTATAACAAAATAAACGTCTTTAAGTTATTGAAGTCATTTTTTTATAAACAAATATCAGTGTCTAATTTTTCAAAACAAATTGGGGTCAGTGTGACCCAACTCACCATACACGGAACAAAAAATGGACCTCACCAGTTACGGGTTAACTCAGTTGAACACAACGCTCAACATTTTGTTACTATTTGTCAAATTTTCTTTTAGGTATACCTTTATAAACCGAATTTCTTTTGTTCACTGACGTAAAAACGACATTCTTGTATACTGAGTGACAGACTTTGTTTTGACTAAAATGTTGTATATAGCATCTATATTATAGATGTTTTATATATGTTTTATTTGATGTGAGTGTATTATACAAATTATAATCACTGATATTCATACGAATATAAACGAAGTAAAGAATGTTGGAAAAATACCGCTCTTAAAATACACTTACAAAAAAGTTAATAGATAAGATCTGTAAATATTAGGTTTAAAAACGATAATATTAGGTTCTTCAACAACATTAAATTTGCACAGATAAAATGTGGGAACTCAAACACTA